TGCTTTGCCCTCCCTTGTCTCCCTTTAGCTTCCATGGCCTCCCTTGTCTCCCATGGCCTCCCTTTGTCTCCCTTTCTCCCTCATGGCTCTTCTGGATGCTGGGCTGAGATGATTCTGCAAGCCTCTGTGCTCGAGACGGCTCTGAAGCCGGCCCCCCATGAGCAGGGACACGTCGATGGTGTGGTGCTGCCGTCCCGTGATGCTTTTGCTGCTGACGTGGACTACCGCATCACGAAGCCGGCTCATCATCCTGGTCCCAAGTCCGGGCGTGATCCTTTTGCACTTGGCCTCTCGTGAGAGTTTTTGGTCCACGAGAGGTGAGTGTTCTGCCAGAGCTAGGGCTGGCAGGGGAGAAGACCGTAGCTCGATGTTTTATTTCCAGGGCATTCTTGAAAGGGAGCCTAGCAAAGGGCATGCATAGGGGTCGGGGCCAAGAAGTCAGGTTCTGCAAAGCCCAACGCCGATTGGCTCGTTTTGCGCACACCACCTAGAGGGTAGGGCGATGATCCACCACCGAACCTTCCTCCTCGTGGATGTTCTGGCAGGGTGATGACGCTGTCCTGAGCAGGGCTCTGGCAGGAGACGATGAATTGGGTCTCCGTCATGGGTTTCAGATAGTTTTGCTGCAGGGCACCCACTACCATCCCTGTGGCCTTTATGCCATGCACTCAGCCCCCACCTCTAAGCAGGACTTAGGAGGCCTAATAGTGTTGGACAGCATGCTCTGTGACCAGCGCGCATTTCCTGTGCCGAAGTCATTCCAGGTCGTGTTTTGCGCGTTCGAATCCAGTTGCGGCACCACGCCATAGATGTTTTGAATTTTGAGCATGCCATGCCTCGGAGCTGCGTGCGCCGACTCTTGACCTTTTCGTGGAATGCAGGTCTCAGCAGCCCCCTCTGGATAGAACCGATGAATTGGCTTGATGTTCAAAACCTTCAGGTCACCTTGTTGCAGTGCACCAGATGGAAGGAATCAATGGCAGACATCCAGATCCCATGCCATACACTCATCCCCCCTTCTGGCTCTGACCATGAGGTCTCATGGTACTTCGGTCCAGGACATTTCCTGCACGTCTGGCTGGACTTCAAGCATTGCGCTTGATTTGTTCATGTGTACGAGCCCATCATGGAATCTCGAGCCACCTTATGGTCTTGCGTTGACCTTTGTGTCCAAGCTTCGCCTTTTTGTTTTACCATAGTCATGAGGAGACTTTAACACTCCGCTCCTGTCGGATGGGAGATGCCTGGTTGGTACGCACTGATCAAGTCCTACACTGTCAGCGGGGCCCTTCCCATAGCCTGCTTCTGGAGATGAACTGTTGGTGGCGATTTGGGTCTTTTCTACGTGGTTGACTCGATGATGGTGAGGGTGCTTGGAGCACATTGTGTGGTATGTGGCATTCCCATGCGTGGCAATTTGTCAAGTTCGACGCCGCATGACAGCTGCTCAGTTGCTCATCAGGAGTTGGCCCAACCTGCTGAGATGGTGTCTCGCCACGGCACTGTGCCCTGCTGTTGTGTCAAGCGCCCATGAATGTAAAGCCATGTACTTGATCGGCTATCATGACAGGGTTCTGCATGGCGCGCGAGCAACTTGTTTGACCTTGCGGCTGCCCCTTCCTCCCGGCTGCACGGAGAGATGAGGCAGCTGACGGTGGCGAGTGGCTGATGGCGGAGGAGGCGCCTGCTTCTGTGCTGCCACGTGCGGCCTGTTTAGTTCGCGCCTGATCGAGCTGTCTCTTTTGAACTGGCTTGCCGAAAGGCTAAAGCCCGCAAACAGAGACCCTCTCAAAATAAGACAAAGGGATGATTCTGTTTGCCATGGTTGCTCTGGATGTTGGGCTGAGATGACTCTGCTTTGTCCGCCCTTTGTGTGCCATGGCTCTTCTGGATGATGTTTCTGCTTTGGTTCCCACGCACCTGTCTCTTTTCTTGTCTCCCCACCTGCAAGCTGTGATAACATGATTTCCCTTTGTCTCCCCGCTTGTCTCCTTCTTCTCCCTTCTTATCTCGGCGCAGACAACAAGCTATCGCCACGGCTTTCCCCTTTGTTTTCCCACATGTCTCTCTTCCTGTCTTTATTGGTGTGCTGTCATGACAAGGCGATTTCCCCTTTGGCTCCCCACTCTGACATGCGCGGGAAGACATACGGTATATATACTGTATATATATATATAATATATCAATTTTTCGATACATATGACGCATGCCGTTCTGACATGCGCCCTCAGCATCTGTCAACGTACACAGCTTTTGGAACTGCAACGTCCTGTTTGTGCTTGTGCTTGCCATGATGTTGACCTCAAACCACCTGAGCAAAGGCTGTTTGGGGTCGATCCCGGTGTAATTTTGTGGGGTTTCAGCAAGAGTGGTAATTTTTCCGACACGGGTGAGGACGAAGTCAGCAGCCTTGTTGAGAAGATCTCTCAGAACCGCCCGCTGAAGTGCAGTATCCAGACACGCAAAGACTTGTCGGGAGATGAAGCAGTGCGGGTTTTCCTTGAGTTCGAAGCTTGGCCAACCAAGTGGAGAGCCCATAAATCGTACTTTTTAGGAACGCCCCCAGCAATCTCTGTTCTTGGATACCCAATGTTTCAGCACTGTTCCACTGTTCACTAGTTTGCTCAAAGCAAATGTGACATGGACAAAGCCTTCACGATTCACTTTCGCTGAGGAAACCGTAAATGACTCTGTGGAGGCTGTGAGCCAGTTGCATGGGCAAGAGTTTGGCCTACGACGTATTCGAGCCCGCTATTCCACTGAGGCAAAGCTATTGGAGCTCCAAGCGAAGTGAAAAGAACAAAGACAGAGTGAAATGATGCACAAAGATGAAATGAGAACGTCAGACCAAGTGGCACTTTGTGGGCTTGCAAGGACAACAAAAACAGCACCTCGACACTGAGATGATGCCCGGGGTGGTGCAATGCTTCAGTCTTTCTTGAAGATGAAATCAAGCTCACCGATGCGAGAAGGCTGAAGCTAGCGGCAACTGCGCCAATTATGACTTGAAGATGTAGCGGCCGAAAGAAAACTTTGGTTTGTTGGCGGCTCCACATCTTGTGAGTGAAGATTCTTTCGGACAAGTGGGGTTCACCTTTTTGTTTTCCCGAGCGGCTGCAACAACTTCTTCTCAAAAAACACGGTCCACTTCACTACTCTTTTTCAGCAGTGTCATCTTCAATATGCTTGATTTGTAGGCCTATTCACTTACTGTAACCTTCGTTTTTGTGCATATAGTATTATATTATATATACATGTATAGATGTAGTGTAGGTATCATCTGAGTTTCTCCTTTTCAGATCTTCGTTGAACTTCTCTTTTTTGGCGGTGCCGCGGTCCGACAGCACGAACCGCAACGCTCTCAATGTTTTGTCCATGTCGAAAGTGTAAAACCCAGGCAAAACACAACATTGAGTTTCCTTGGGCAACCCTTTCGGTCTTTCGTGGGTGAAGCGCTGTTGTTGGTGATAGTGTGTGGTGCAGTTCTATGGGGAGAACCAGGAGAGCTCTCCTTCAGGGTTGCGGACGGGTGGCGGAGCGTGGCTGGTAGGTTTCTAGCGAAAGGTACGTGCATACCTGCCGGAAGCCTTAATACCGAAAGGTACGTGGTGCAGTGGTGATGTGAGACTTTTCTGATGAAGTGGCACGCTTCCACCGGTGAAATGGTGCGTTGCGGTTCCGCAAGGGTGAAGTGACCATGTTTCAACGGATTTCCACAGCTTTGGTTGAAAGACCACACTCCAAATGTTGTCTGCGAAGAAGTCGGGCTGTTGTGGATGCCAATTCACGGGCCATGGCCTAGCCATCTCCTCTGAAAACTGTGGTCTGGGAAAAGCACATCCAAGAGAAGCATGATGCGACAGAGTCGAAGAATGTAGGTGAAAGTATGATATCGCTCTGTTTTTTGGAAGCGTTGCCAGAGCAGGTTACAGATGACTTTGAATTGATCGATGGCCTGTCCTGTCCGTTTTGATGAGCTTTGTGCCTGTGTCATTTTCGTAAGAAGATCAAGTTTTATCACCTCTTCTGCCAGACCTTGGCACTTTGCCATGTGAGTTGGTAAGCCACTTGTTCGATGAGTTTGATTGATCGGCTGGCCGGAATCATGCCGCGTTGTCCAACTCGGATGCTCCACAAAGGGTTCAGGTCAAAATACTGTATGTTCCACGAAGGTACACGCGGGATCTTAGAGTCTTAGAGTCTTTGATCCACTTTTTTGAACTTTTCAAGTGCAGTTATTTGGACCATGGATTTGAACCCACCAAATTGCGTGTAAATCGCGGGAGTACGACCGAAGCCAAGTCGGCATGAAGCCGGACCGCGGCTTGCCTCTCCTTGACTTGAGGCAGGTTGGGCAGGACCTTCAGCAGACTTTAAGCTGGATGTGACAACCAACATGTTATGGCAAAGGCAATATTGATTCAACCTTAATCTTGAGTCAATCCCTTTGCTTAGAGTTAAGACTCGTCTGAGCAGATTGATGTTTGTCCAATAGCAGAGTACTTTCCAGTCTTCAGCCAACTATGGAGGGTACCAATGCCTCAATTGACGACGAAAAACAAACAACACTATATAGTCAGCAGACGACGAATGGCCCGGGAGATTTGAAACACATTGTTCAGTATGTTTCTATTTTGTATCAACGCGCGTGGATCCTTCTTGTCGCAATGTGTACACCAAGCCTCATGGACACCGCCAATCATCGCACATGACGAAATTACGTCTGTGATGTCCCTGTGTCATGCAGTTTTCGGCAGCCTCGGTGGAAAATGTGTTCACGTGGCTCTGTGCCATTGGGAAACGAAAGGCGTGCGTGTGAAGCAACAATATAGCACCAAGCCTTGTGGACACCGCCAATCATACTGGTCCCCAACGAAAAAGTTGCACAGCTCCCAGAAGCTGCTTTCCGTGTACATGTGCACTCCAAGTTACCAGTTCTGAGGCCACAGTTCCTAGAAGCTGCTTCCTGCGCTACATTTGCGCTAACAAAGTTGCTAGTTCTGAGGCCACAGCTCCCAGAAGCTGCTGCCTGTAGTACATTTGAACTATATATAAAGTTCCCATTTCGAAGGCAGTTAAAACTTTGGCAACGTCCACCTTTGTTTTCGACGACAGTTGCACACTTTGAGCCTCCAATTTCGAGCGTGCATTTACACGTTTTGGCAACCTCCACCACCACCTTCGTTTCGACGACAGTGACCCGCTTTGGCAGCCTCGACCTTCGTTCACTTATTACGCACTTTAGCAACTTCCAGCTTGCGCCATTTCTGATGACAGATACACACTTCGGCAACTCAACACGCGCGATCTCCGCAATTACGTTTGTAGCGTGGTTGGAAACCTTTTTGAGCCTCCATTAGTGGATGTTGTTTGACGAACCTTGGTAGTCATTCCTTGCCCATGCTGTGGTTGAGCGGTTAGGTTAGATCAAATCATTGAGGAATAAGTGTAAAGCTTGTCGAAACACCTGGCTGTGCCTATCGTGTGGGAAACAGGTTTTTCTCCTAGAGTAGTTGTGATTCAGTCCGCCTGAAGGGGCAAAGAATACACAAAGCAATGCCCAAGTCCATGCATCGTTGGTGTCGGAGTGCGAGGACAGGATTTAAACCGCTTTCGTCCTTGCTTGGCAAGTCATTGGTGCTGGATCTTAGTGCCTGAAAACATTCTCACTAGGAGACGGAGGTTTCACCAAAGTGTGAATCTAGTCTCCCTTGCGACCTTTGACAGCAGCTCCACCAATGGTGCCTATTATCACGGGCATGCCGTGGCTGACATATGTTCTGCTGGCTATAGTTCTGGTCATGCTGGTTGGTGGCCTCCTTGCACTCCACAGTTCTATGAGGACGGCCGCCTTAGAAGACGCACCACGTATCTCTGCGCATGCTTGCACCTTCACTTCTTTCCTGCTCACGCTGTGCATGGTGACTGTCGCGAGTTTCTTGGCAAACAACTCCAGCAATTGGTTTCCATCTCCCTCGCAGCCAGCGAGGCAGCCATGTGGTTTGGCCATACCTGACTATCGAGATGACACAGATGACGCAGCACTAAATGCCACCGCTCAGTACTTCGACACCTGGCAAAAGCGCTGGATTTGGGTTGATCTCTCCATGGTCCAGCTGCCGGAAGTGGAGAAGAAACAATGGGAGTACACGCAGTCATGCGTAAACATTTTCACCTACGATATTGTCACGACCACCTGGGCCCGGAAATGTTCGGAGTGGTGCCAGAAACATTTTGGCAACTTTGTTTGGAATGAGGCTTGCGCTTTCGGACTAGTGACCAATGAGAATCCAAAGCCAATGAATGTCTTGAGAGCCTGTCAAAAGGCATCATTTTGCACGAATCACTTCACTTTGTCTTCGGACAGCGTCACGAAGATTTGCATTCTCATAGCTTTGCTAGCGTTTTGCTCCGGCTTCGCTGCTTATCGACTCAATGAGAACCAGTCAACCCCCAAATTTAGCTCTGCTGCAGAGCCGGGTAAATTGAAATTGGCTCCTTTTGTTGAAATTCCGGGAGTCTCCCGCAAGACAGAAATCATTTTCGACGTCTTGAAGATGACAAGTGAGATGATGTTGGATGTCTTCTCAGATTTTGCGGCCGGACTGATGTATTTCTCCCATGGGCAGATCTTTTTGGGTTTTTATATGTTCATGGTCCTGGCATCAGCTCATTCGATGGATCTCTTGGGAACCAAGGGCTTTGCCCAACTTTGTTGGTCACTGGAACATGCAGTCCCCAACGCAGCTCTCATACGCAGAAAGTCAGTTGAAGTCGCAGAAAGCAGCGCAGGACTCATCTGCATCGCTTTGTTCTTCTTGCGCGTGCCAGCGCATGATCAGAATGATCAGCCGCTACTCTCCCAGATGGATTTGGTAGTGTATAGCATCACGCTAATCACTTCCCTGACAGGCATTTATTCTGGTGCTGAAGCCTCAATCCAGGGGCATCTACTAAGCCTGAATCCAGACATGGAGCTGGACATGGACAAACGGTATGAGAAGTTCAAGGAGAAGTCTGTACCCATAACCATGTTTGCTTTGGGAGCCCTCTGCTCGCGTGTCTCTGTGTCTCTTACGATTGCTTTGGTCATTGAAGCATCTTCGGCTCCATTTGCCACAGCCATGCATATTGGGAATGCGGGTTGCCTTGTATCTCTTGCGGTTGCTTGTGCAATCACCCTCATGACGGTGGTGCTGATGAGATACTTCCGGCCAGATTTACGTCTGTCACTGAATGATATAGTGGTGGTCCTGTCAAACAACTTTGGTTTTGTCTCCTTGGCCTTTGCAAGTTGCTTCACAGCAGGATTTTTGAAGGAGATGCGAGATGAAGGAGATTGGGACAATTTGCCATGGCATGATGTGGATACATCTGACAAAGTTTGGAATAAATCTTGAAGGACATGAGGCTGGACACCCGGAACATGCGGGACTTGTTCTGGCAAAGCATCTTATTTCTTGGTCTCTGATTTGGGTGGCAGAAGGATGTTCACGAGTAGCACCTCTTGCTGCGGTTGTTCAGGTTGTGGTTTTGGTGAAAGAAAGTATGGTGGCCGCAGACAGCGATGAAAAGACGTTGGGCTCACAAAGTTATGAGTTACTTCACGGGACTGGGCTTAAGCCATGAGGATCGCCCCCAAGGAAAATGGTTTGGCCAGACCAGCTTTGTTCCTGGCTTGTCAATGACGTGAACCGGTAAAACGTTATGACATTCAGATGCCGCTGAAGTTTCACGCAGGGTACTACACCAGCCTAGCCAGTGTGACATCTGCGACAAAAAAGAAGCGTTTGGAATGACTCGCTGCTGGCTGGTTGATGTTCTTCGTATCCAAAAGGTGCAGGCGCACGATGAAGGGACTCCAAGAAGTTCCAGCGGTGTTAACAGAAACCAATTTCCTGATGTAGCTATACTTAGCCACGGTAGATTGATAAACAGATCGTGCGGAGAAACGACTCACGACTCCAGCCTTCCACGGTGATTGATGCAATGGTTTCGGCTCGCAGCGTAGGTCACCTCACGATCCAGTCACTTGCGGCTTCAGGTGCTGCATTGCATCTAGGAAGGTCCACCTTCTATATAGTTGGTTTTTTCGGGGGACCTCCTCCAGCAGCGGAGCCTGGGGCCGTGGTTGTCTCAGCGGTAGGTAGTCTTCCCCAGGTTTGTCGACGACCAAGACCGACGGGAAAATTTATTCGCATATTGCCCTTGCAATTTGACTACATTCCAGAGCTCCCTACACAGCTTTGGTTTCCAAGCGACCGAAGACCACAGACTCTAGATGTTGTTTGTGACTATGTTCGGGCTGTTGTGGATACCAATGAAAATATGTTCCACGAAGGTACACGCGGTATCTTAGAGTCTTAGAGCCACTTTTTTGAACTTTTCAAGTGCAGTTATTTGAACCATGGATTTGAACCCACCAAATTGCGTGTAAATCGCTGGCGTACGACAGAAGCCATGTCGCCATGAAGCCGGACCACGGCTTGCCTCTCCTTGAGGCAGGTTGGGCAGGACCTTCGGCAGACTTTAAGCTGGAAGTGACAACCAACATGTTACTGTATGTCAAAGGCAATATTGATTTAGAACTTGCTTGGAGCCTGTGGAAAGCAGGTTATGCTTCTTTAATACATTTCATTAGACAAAATGCCTTGCCATTTTGGCTCAAGATTGAACTCAGAGAAAAACCCCGCTTCGGTCTTACACCCTAGGACAAGTGGTGGGGCTGGCACTGTCGTGTCCGCGGATGATACGGAGTCCGCCTCGCCGCCTTTACCACGGCATGTTCGGGCGCTGCACTCTGCCTGTGGAGGAGAGCTCTGCGCGCATGGAGGTGGAGCCGATGACCAGCGCCAGCCACTGCACCGCTGCTGGAGCCCCCCACCCGTCAGCGCAAGCGTGAAGACATGGAGTCGGCCAAGCTGTCACCTTCAAAAATATATCGGCGGAGGCAGGCGCCCTGACCTAGTTACTGATACAACCCCAAACCTGGGCCAGATAAGAGCACGATACAGAAGCAGCCACATGAGGGACCAAGAGGCTGGAACGGTAGGGCTGAGATTCATGACCTCTCTCAGAAACAGCCCTTACTACCAGATTCACCTCAAGATCTGCGGCCCTCGCGTCACATCCTTATAGTCCAAGAAGACGAGGGCAGTAGGTCGGTCCTCATGATACAGCCGCAAACCCAGATTCTCAGATAAGACGTGGGCAGCAATTAAGAATGAAGAGGCAAGTCGATGGCTGTCTCCAAGTTCACCGTCTTCTTCCACCTGATGGGCCTGGTCGGTTCCTGTCGGGTTCAACAATCACTCGATGGGCGCCTCCGAAGAGCGGGTTCTAGCGATAAGACCCTTGACAAAGCAAAGCAAGGCAGACCTCCATCTTGGAGCAGTTATCAAGTGAATCTTGCAAGCCGCTGCTTGAGATATAGAAATAGTCGATGCAGGTATGGAAAGACAGGGTGAAGCACAGAGATCTATATAGATGCAGAGAGGTGAAGAAAAACCTTTAAGCTGCATTTTTGGGTTGGTGCGCTTTTGCACCTTGTCTGAAGGCTGTCTCGGGGCAATAAAGGGTGCAAGGAGGAAACTTTGTGGGTGGCACCCTTGCTGAACTCCATTCCGGGGCCCGAGCCTCATGTTTGTTTGAAGGCGCTGGGGAGAAAAAGGCAAATCCGAAAACGTCCGAAAAGTAGGTTTCAGCAACAAGACCCTGGACCAAGCATGACACGGCAAATGCATTTCAGAACGTTTTAATGCATCTTGCGCACGGAGTGGGTATGACAGGGGGGTATCACGCGACGTGCCAGTATTCTCTTGCTTCCCGTGTGCGATCCCTGCCTGGCTCAAACTGCAATCTTTCAAACTGTCAGATCGCTGCTAGAAGCTGCTTGAGTCGACAAAACGCGTTGCCCTAAGCGTTTGCGAGGGCTGGCTTTCGTCCTCTCACTCCTCAGGTTGTTTGATTGATGAACCTTGCTAGTCACGTCTTTGCTGGGTTTGGATCACATCATCGAAAAGTTGGAGTGAAAACGGGTACTGCAAGTGTAGGGCATGTGTTCTTTTGCTCACCAAGGGGGTTGCTTCAAACACCTGACTGTGTCTATGGTGAGGGAACATGCCTTTCTTGTAGAGTACTTGCGTTTTTCATTTTGATGCCATGTCTTATTTCATTCTGTCAAACAAGTTTCTCTTGGATGGTGCATGATATCTACGCACACTTGACATGGCAGGTCCATGCCTGATGGTGAGGCTCGGGCGCAGAAGGCATCTAGGTCACATGCACTTCGCGCGAGAGACTCCGTTTCGCTGACTGCCGAGGCAAGCGGCAGTGAACCAACTGTCTACGCAGACAAAGGCTTGGGCTGAGACTTGTGGTACTGGTAGAATTGCTGGAATTGCAGTCTGCCTTGCAATGGACAAACAAAACAGTTTTGACTTCTCGCCTGTCACCCTCGTCCCAATCACAAGACATGTGGGATTGCAGAAGAAACGCTTGACAGTTTAAAACGCTTCCCGCATGTGCTGTTGCCTTCGTGGTTGTCCATTATTTCGGCTGGGCTTCAGGATATATGGATGATTACGATGTTTGCGGACAGACTGGTGTCATCCTCAGGGCAACCTGAATCACCCTAAATATGAAGCAACCGTTTGGCTTCAACCAGAACAGAACAGGTTGGACAACGTTGCCACAGTTGTCTGGCCGCAGCGTGCATAGCTCAGAAAAGAAGGGCCAAAGCCGCAGGCTGGTCAACTGACTTCTGCGCCCCCTCCGCCACCTGTCTCGCCTCGTTGTTTCCTCTTAGGTTAGTCCAAGGCTGGGAAGCCATTCAAAGTGCAATTTTGTATGCACTGCTTTCCTTTTCCAAGAGAAGCTGGAGAAGCTCAAAGCAGACTTTCCATTGTGCGCAGGCCCACCCGCCCTGCTCGATCAGTGTTGACCTAAGTGAGAAATCGGGTTGAGAGGCATTGAAAGGCATTGTTGAGGAGGCGGCTCATTTTGAAGCAGGATCTCTCAAAGCTGGACCACATTATCCAGCAAGCAAAGGAGGTTCAGGACCCTTTACAACCCATCCAGATTTGGAGATCAGCCCACTGCCTGCTGCTAGGACCAACTACTGTCAAGTGTGAGGGTGACAGACACCGTCTCAGTGCTCTGTTGGGTTTGCATCCCTGCTCTGCTCTTTGCATCCCTGCTTAGCTTTGCATGCAAGTGACAAATTCTGAGGCACCACAGGTCCCAAGCAGCGCATCTCTTGGGCTTAGTGCAGGAAAGAGAACATTAGTTTCACTGCTGCTCATACAGCAAAAATTCCACTGAGCAGAGCCTTAGATCCTTGATGCAAAGGTGTTGCTGAACCTATCACGATGGCTGCAGCGACTGCTGGAAACCCAAGATCCCGAACCTACAGTGACCTTCACATTTCGCATGTTTTTCTCTTTTTCATTCTGCAACAGCGAAGCTCAGGGGTCTTCAGCCATAGTAAAGACCTCGGAGCAGATTGGAGCAGATCGGAGCAGGTCTCGGTGCACGTTTCCATAAAGAGCAGGCTCCGGAGAAGGTTCCCAAGCAAACTCCAGCTTCCGGATTTCCAGAACACGTTCCAGAGCAGCACGTTCCGGAAGAAATTCCGGGCACATGCCGGAGCACATTCTGGAGCAGGTGGCGGATGACGTTCCGGAACAGGTTCGGGAACAAGTTCCGCCGAAGCAAGTTTTGGAGGGTTTTCGCAAGATCCTGGGCTCTTTGCAGACATACGACGGCGTATAGATGCTGACATGTCCACGCGCCGTCAGGCTAGCTTGCGCCTTTTGCTAGGCTGCTATAATGTTATTTCTCTGACGGGCCTTTATAAGGTGTTGCCACGCCGATAAGCTGACACGGTGGATATAATGCAGAATGCGGACATGTATCATCGTGAATGTACGTATTTTGCAGATATGCGGCGTGCTGTCACGCAGGCAAGTTGTCAGGCTGTCAAGCTGACATAATATGCGGCAATGGGTCACACTAACATGCTAACAGGTTGTCCTGCTGAGATGCGAACATCGGGTCATGCTCTCGTGCTAACTTGCTGGCGGCTCAAGGCTGGCTCAGGAAGAGGTTTCATGGTTTTGGTTTGTTGCAGTCGTGGCATGCTTTGCACATATGGGGATGCACCACTTGTTAATAAACTTGCAGGGGTCGCGCATTTATTGACAAGTGCCAAATGTTGCCTTTGCTGCTATGCTCAATCATCAAGTTCATGCCCAGCTGTATTTGGATGTTTGTTCTTTAATTTTCGCAACCTTCACATCTGCTGGGATGTCTTTTGACCTTGGCAAACCTAGAGCAACACTGTTGCAGCAATGCTCAGGTGCCTCCCAGTGTGCCGGGCAATGCGCCGGGTGGTCCATGGGCCTTCTCAACCCCCGTGAGGTGATGAGTACACAAGAGATGCAAGAGGCTCAAGTATTCTCGCCCTTGAGGCGCTCTCGAGAGGGGAAAACACCTCGAAGCAAGCTTGTCGGGATCTTAGGCAAACCCAAATGCCGTATTTTGGTCTTTCGGAACAGGATGCTCATTTATTTGCAGAGTTTGGGTCTGCTTTCCAAGGAGGAGTCATCGAGAGTCAGGCTAGTTGGTCCGTGCTTAAGGGAGTGGAAGAAGCTGACAAAACCTGGCGTCATCAGGATTTCACCCATGACAAGCACGTACTTGTAGAGGGCATATCCCGAAACGTAGCTAGCTACTTGGATGTGGTTCAGAACAAAATATGTAATGTTATGCAATGTCGGAGTATTCCCCAAGGGGTGTGGTGCATGATCTTGACAACCCAAGAGCAAGAAATTAATCACTACTCTGCACATTTGTGCGCCAAGTTACTGGAATCCATTGGGTGTAGGTTGCTGTTTTACCTGATAGATCAAGCAAGACTGGAGCAAAACATCATGGTCGTCACACTGACATTCCACCTTTTTGAGCCTGGAAAGAAGACTATGACTATGACGAACTTGAAAGAACTCTCCAAAGTCTCAATCTAAACTCGTCGCTTGCCGAGGCGTGCCGCCGACGAGCTGCTCGAGTCGGTCCGACGGAGGGCATTAGAGGCATCTTGAAAGATGACGTTAAGAGAAGCTGAAACTCTAAGGATTCCGAACATGAATGCACGAGCTGACACTTCAAGTTGCAAACTAGCCTCTCCTTCTTTTGTGAATTGACATGCCTTCTATGTGCTTTTGCATTTTTGTGGAGCCGTTTGGTGAGTTTGTCCTTCCAAGATTAGTTTTGGCCTTTGTTGACATTCGGCTCGAATCTATGTGGTGGCTGAAGCGGGGACCATTTGGTGCATCAAGAAGCTGCTCTGCACCGGTCCAATCACGCGATTCTACTATCAGCCTGAATCCCAGTGCTGTTTGAAGCAGAGGGTAACAAGTGCATCGCTACTAGTAACAAGAAGATCTCAGCTTTCATTTCCTGAGGTCAGGTCAGGTCTCTATGGCATGCGGCATCATCATGGATGATAGGATGCCAGTGTGTGCCAAGTTTGTCACACTGATGTTCGTTTTGGCTTTAGATAGCTTGTGCAACATACGGCTTTGGACTTAATCAACGTGCCAGACCTGAAGTAGTTGTCAGAGATCCTCACAAATTGCCAACTGCTGCAGTACAGCGAGCAAACTGAAGGACCCTTGCGATGGTCCAAGGCCTTTTTGCCGGACACCAAACACGTCCAGAAATCCAAAGCCTTGCAAACTTGAAGAAGCGCTTGAAAGGCTTGCTAAAGAGCATGTTTTTTTTTGCGACTTTCTCTAAGGCCATGGCCTTTGGGGCCAGCTTGTTGACTCTTTTGAGCGAGGCGCAAGTCTTTCCCAGGCACAGCGGGTGCTTGTTATTGCATAGGTGCTTCTAATAGCAATGGCCTCCAACCTAATAGTTATGGCCTCCAACCTAAATGCTTCTTATGCTTTCTTGCTTTTGTAAACTTTAGACACAGTGTTGAAGAGCGCTGGTCATAAAGTGTATTTCAGGCGCTGTTTTTGCCAGAGCGGTCCTGGTGCTTACGGACTTTGTGAGGTCAGCTTCTTAAAATCACACTTGCTAGGCTGAGCTGTTTGTATTTGGTCCGAAGAACAGTTCTTGAGAGGCATGGCAGGATTGCCGCACTGTGATCAGCTTCCTGATGGGTGCACTTGTTTGCCACTGTGCACGTACTACTACAGGCAATGAGATGACACAATGCAGTGCAGTTCAAGTTGAGATTTGTGCAGGCGACGAGGAGCGAGGGAAAGGTCTTCACATCTCTCTCTTTTGGTGACCAACCATAGTCTGCAGCATAGCTGCAGAGAGGCCAGGTCACAGCCGAGGACAAAACCGCCTTGGCACTTGAGACCAAGAGACCCTCTTGGAGCCCAGACAAAGCCTGGGCAGATTTTGTTTTGGTGAGCAATCTACATCTGGTGAGCAAGTTTTCAAGTTCAGCCCAAGGCTGGACACACTTGGCCTCCAGCTCACTAGCTTACGAGATTCAAATCTTAGCTGGTCCTCTGTAGGAGAGGCCTGACCGACCGTCTGTCAAAACAGTGGAATTCGGTATGCATGCTGTTCAGTCCTTGTCTCTTCTGAATGGGCACATACATGCGAATGTCCTTGTAGCACGTTCTGGCAAAGTTGGTGCGAACTGAAATCCCGAAGATCTACTATTTGGTGTGGATCTGCTTCTGAAAAGTGCCCATAGTTATCGTCCTTTCTCTTGATGGCCGAAGTGCCGGAGAGGAAAACCGACTGCACACATGAAAAAAGTGGTGTTGGTGTCATGCTAGTGGTTAGCATATTGCTCATGCAGCGGCTTTGCAGGTTTCTGCAAACTCTTTGTCAAACAGCCAGGCTGAAATCGAAAGACTCCGGGGTGAGCTTGCAGCAGCAGAGGCGAGCAAGCAAAAACTCCAGGTGCGCAGACTGAGCACGATGATTGAAGAGCTATTCCTTACACACTCGTGACTTATGACTCCCAAAGCACTTGGAGAACTTGCAATTTAGGCCGGCGAATCTGCGGAAGCAGAGGCAGGGGCAGAGGCAGGGCTGCCACCAGCAAAAGTAAAGCGTTGTTGCTTAAGCTGTAGATTCAGAGAAGGAACAACCACTCTCAAGGAAAAATGCTACTAGTAACAAGTGCCTCGCTGGTAGTAACAAGTGCCTTACTACTAGAAACAAAAAAGCTATTAGAAACAAGTGCCTTACTACTAGGAGCAAGAAGCTACTAGGGGCTCCTGGCCTTACTAGTAGTAACAAGAAGCTACTACTAGGAGCAAAGCTAAACATCGCTTACAGTAAACTTGTTTGCCAAGGCTACGCGATTACTTCGAGAAGCTCGAGTCGAGGTGAACCGTCTGAAAGCAGCGCTGCAGAGACAAGGTCACTTCGACCGGATCAAAGAGGCCCGCAGTGGGTGAAGCCAGGCGTCACAGTGCAAAACAAGCAGTGCGAAGCAAATCACTTTATAACATATATATATATATATACATACTGTAATTTCTACAAATATGTTCTTTCAGAGCAATATTGCATCGCACTGCCAATTACCAATGAGCCAGCTAGGGCGTGACCCACAGCTGAGGTACTGACCTGTTCAATTCAGCAATAGCAACATGAGACAACAGGTTTTTCATGCCCAGCATTTAGCCAATCCACAAGTGCGGGACAATCAAGTTAAATCCCAAGGGAGGCACAATTCCAAGGTCTTAAACGCAGGAAGGTGTCAGATCGTCGTGATGTGAATGAATACATCAGGCTGAGTCTCATCGAAAAGCATTCGAGCAGGACTTTCAATTAAGGCTAAACGATGAGCAGCTTCATTCCAGAACGACAAATTGCATCAGCTTCTTCTGTGTCACACTTCCTTTCTGACACACTTAGTCACGTGTACCTTTCTTGTTGAACGCGCATTTGTTGTCACGCTTGATTTCCGCAGGAGCTGCGGACTGCTCGGGAGGATGCAGCACGCAAGCATGAGGAATTGCAGCACTTGAATCAGGTTGATATGCCCTTGCTGTGGTCGCAGCTTAGCCGCGTCCATCCAGATTGGACACATACATCTCGACTTTCGGCACAGGTGCAGCAAGAACAGCTTGTGAAGGAAAGAGATGCGGAGAGAAGGCAAGGTGGACAAGAGATGTTTCCATTGCACTTTGTTCTACATTTCCCAACGGACATTGAGTAAAACGCAAGAACGGGAATGTATGGCAGGTTAAGGCTGGAGGCTGAGACAAGGCACAATTCAGGGGCCCTGCGGCCCTGCGCGTGAAACTCTGAGCCTCACTGAGCATGTTTCCGCAGGCGAGAGGCCATTTTGCTGAAACTGCGCGAGATGGAGGCCTGGCATCCGCAGGTTGACCGGGTCCTTGCAGACTTAAGTGTGGAGAAGCTTTCAGGAGGCTGAGCGGTTGCGCCAGAATGCAGCCACCCTCTCAGCTCAAACTTCGATGCTCAATGGTGAATAAAACACATCGAGAATCTGTTGATAGACACAGAGACAACGGACATCGGTGGACTGATGAGGAAGGTCTGCTGAACGAGCTCAGAGAGGCGTCGAAAAGAAGTGAGTTCGGTGTGTTTTTTCTTTTTATGAACACTGACTGTGAGTAGGGTGTCAAAATTTAGACAGTAGGTTTCGGAGGTCTGACTGCTCGAGGCGAACCTTATGGCGAAATGCTTTCTTGTTCCAAAGATCACAGAAACGGGGCTCTTCACTATGTCACTGGGAGGAGATCCGTCAGTTGCAGGGCGTGCTGCATGTGGAGCAGCATCCTGTCCACCATTGAAATGTGCTGATGCGTCTTGCGAAAGCGCGAGGAATTGCAACAGAGCAGACACTTGTAGACTTTGATTAGCACATTTTCATGCTATTTTTGCTCTTGAGAAACCCATGGCTCGTCCTTTTGCCAGGTTGGCACGGCAAGCCGCTGAGCAGCGGCAGAGTGCTGTGGAGGTGTGGTTCAAGAAAGGACCGAGCAGTTTATCACGAGTTTGGACTGACAGGGACTCCACCAACGGAGCCAACAAGAGAATGCGCAGCTGCGGAAAAGCGTCAGGACCCCAAGAGTGCAAAGATAATGCGTTGACGCAACCTATTTTATGAGCTTTTGACATTCGGAGAAGCGAACAGTATCAGCAACATTCTTCCAAGTAGGTTGAAAAAAGGACAGATTCCCAGTATTCTTTAGTTTTGTTCATACATTTACGCTCTTAATTAGTGAGGTAACGGCTCTTGCGCAGCAGGCCATGAGACTAGCGGAGGGAGAGCGCCAAATGCTCTAATCTGCTGTTGAGCATGGTGTTAGCAACGGTTTACATCTACTAGCAAGAAGCTACTAGTAGCAAGGGCATCGCTACTAGTAACAAAGGGCATCGCTACTAGGAGCAAGGACGCTACTAGTAGCTCCTGGCATCTCTACTAGGAACAATTTTCAATTCGGTCTAGGTGCACAGTCTCAACAGCCCAACTACGATTGACTCCCAAAGTCTGCGAAAGCCATGAGCACCTTGCAACAAAGGTCCTTCTCCTGTGTTTTTGTGCAATCTTCCGGTGGCTTGTCACCGACCCGGTGGCAAGCCAGCTCTGTTTTAATCCTGTAAGTAAGCCAAAGAAGAACATGCGGCATGCAAGCTGAACCTTTTGTTTTTGCAGAGGAAGTGTACCATTTACAATGTACAATGTGTGGGTCCTGCGGACAGAGTAGTGATCAGGAGAAGCAAAAGTTTGAGGAGCTCCTAGACACGGAGAGGTATCTACATATTTGAGCTTTCCGACTTCAGCTGTGAAAGCACATGAAGAGAGTCAAGACACCTTTGTCGATGCAACCTTGCCACAATGTACAGCAACATACTAAGCCGCTCGAGCCTATTTCTCAGAAGCCAGAGACTTCTGACGAACAGATGTCCGGAGGTCGCTCAGACAAAGCGCTGAGGAGCAATGTAGAAAGTTGCAGGCTGGGTGAGGTTGCAAGTTATTCTGGATGCGACTCGTTCATCAATCAGAGAATTTGTCCATGAAGGGAGCCCGCAGACCAGTGCAAACTTTAAATTTTGTCCCTCGTCCTCCTTTGGCTCTCAAGCATGAATACTATGAGGGGTACTAGAACCTTGCACGTTTTTCGATTTTACTTCCATGTGAGCAAATCCATTGCGAGGCTGACCTGAGCAGATGTCTCAAGGAGCTTGAAACAAATGTTCAGGATGGGCCTGCAAACAATAACTGCTGCAAGAAGGTGCTTGTTTGAAGTTGAAACTGTCCATGGCTTGCAGCTGAATTTCTTTCACAGCAAGACAGGCCTAAGGAGATTTATGTTCTTCGCATAGCCAATCCGCGCAACCACCTATATACATAGCCAAATGTGTCGTTTTGGTATGCTTTGTCACTCTCCGTGTCTTCCCGAGGACAAGAAGGTGGAACTTGAGGCACGTCAAGCAGCGGAGCTGAGGCGTGAACCCAGAGCAGGAAATCAACATCGAATGACGAAGCAGTAGTAGATGGTGCAGACAGATAATGCAATATATAGAATAGTGTATTACATTCTAACCTTGTCACTCTTCCGATACGCGATAAGGACCGCCAACAATTTTGAGGGGCACCATATCCTCAATACACTCTGGTTGTATTTGGGTCACATTTTCAGCATACTCCCCATTTTGCAGAGGACTTGGAGTTGGATGTCGGGCATGTGATATGTTTACACTGGTAATATGGTCAAGAAACATGACTTCCGCCTGGGTGGTGCACACTCTGTACCCGCCAATTTCAGCTTAACTCATGATGAAGAAAGTGCTACCTCAGCTCCTATTGTGCGTACACTCTCACATCTGGGTCAGGATTGTTTCGTGCGGGTGTTGTGCTTGAGGATTTGGAGTTGGACATCTGATCATGCCGACAAGGATCATGCGTTTGACGTGTTCACCTTTCAAAGGAGCAGTCTTGTGCGCATGCGCAAGAAGTGCAACTTTGTCCACACAGTGTGTACATAGTCTTTGGTGCCTAGACAACTTGTAAGATCATCTATTCAATCTATTCTTTACTAGCTAAGTGTGTGATTTGAAGTTCCTTTAAGGGGAAACCTTGAAAAGAGATTTCTGTAACGGGTTAAATTTCAATAACGAAGAAATGCGCGCCTCGCAAGTGATATAGATGTCCAGCTGGACCACTTCAGAATGACCTGTGTACGCGTCCGTCCGTCCTGTGTTTTTGTCTATGGGCATCAAAGAATCATCAGGACATGACCGCAGTTGATCCGGACCTTGAATGGTCGTAAACCTTTTGGCCGAAGGCGCCTAAACCATATGCATCGCTCTGTGTGGAAAATTTTGGAAGCGCGTCTTGCGGCTGACGAGCTCTTTCAGCGGCACCAGAGCCTTTGGTTCGTTCTAGCGCTTGTTGCGCGACTCCGGCTTGCTCAGGCCTTGGCGGGCCGCTCTTTGCTTTGGCCACGCGGCAGCGCTTTGGTGTTGGTGCAAGTGCACTTCGCCCCTGAAGGCTTTGAGGTTCACATCACTGCGTTCTTGGCCGGAGTTCTGACAGTCTTCCTTGGTGTTTGGTGGGCCCTTCTTTCGCAAGCGCTTGAAGGACATCGGACACCGAGGAGGTTGATTTTAACTTTTGCTTCTTCTGATAAAGAAAAGGTGACTTTGCAGAGCCCTTTGAGCACTTTGCATAGCTGATGAGAAGGACACCGAAGGAGCATGGTCGAGAGTCCCGACACTGGGTGGGAGCCCACAGACCTGGCGGTCGTTTGGAAGAGAGATGTGTTGGTGGTTGGCCCGACTTGACGTCCAATCCACCAAGAAATGCAACCTCGCAGCTTGTTGGCTTCTCATACAGTGGGCTTCCTTGCCAACACCCAAAGATCTTGAGACTAAGTTCACTTGGACCTCCTCAAGGTCTAAGATGCCTGTGAGAGGAAGTATGTGGTTGCCTCTTGCACGGGCTTTGCAACAAGATTCTAAGCCACCAAGATCCTGAAGGAGAAGAGCGTTAGTGAAGTGATCCGGCTCATGCAGACCGAGTTTTTGTTTGCGATCAGGGCCGGGAGTTCATTTCATGGGAGATGGAGGAGTGGCTCTTGGGTGTCTTCCATGCTACACCACATAGCAGTCCAGGCTCTCTGTAGCAAGTACTTCAGGCGGTCCCATGGATCGTGACGGATCTTGGGTAGACTTCTTGTTGCCGTCAGTAGAATCGTAGATCTATGATGATCTATGTGGCTATGTCTTTCCATCTTCTATGCTGCAGTCTCTCCGCCTGTTCTTCTGCAAGTCCCTGACTTGATGCCTCTCTCCCTCTTCAACCTCCTGATCGGGTGCGTTCTCAAAGTCTTGTTCAAACGCGGTGTAGCCGCGTAGCCCTTGTACTTTGCTGCACACTCATGTACTTCTGTAATCTTCTGATGTGACAGGATTGAGTTTTGTGCGCTCCACTCTCAAGCTTTTTAGGGTTGGATGGATTCAGTCCTGAGCCTGTTGCGTATCTCGCATCTGGCCCTTTCCTCCAACTTCTTTGGACTTGGCTGTCCCTTCTACTGCGGGGCTCCTCTCTTCGGCACTCTCCTTGCATTCTTCCTCCTGGGCCTCATCTCCGGCGTCCTTTTGGCTCTTGCTGGACTTTTCCTCTTGTTCCCTGGATTTCGGCCCTACTTGGGCTTTGCTCCTCAGGTTCCGCCTCGAGCAGATCCTGCTGCATCCCGGCTCTCCAGGTACTTGCATGAGTGTGTCCGCTGAGGAAGAAAGCATCGTTGAGTTGGACATCCAGTTCTCTGGCCTCAGCATCTCAGTCCGGGGCGCCCCGGATACAGCTGCACGCTTTGTGCAGCAGATCTCCTCCCAGGACGGCGCCTCTTCGGCCTACGGCCCATCGGCTTCGCCTACTCCCGTGGATCTGCATCCTACTGGGCGTCCTAGGCCTACTCCGTCTTCGGCTCCAGGACGTGCTGCAGGCACTACATCGTCCTACCCTACCAGGGCATCCGTGGAAGCATCCTTCCCACCTTGTCCAGCATCGTGGATCGGGGCGGCTTCGGCAAGATTGTCCGGATCAAAGTCAACCCCTACTGCTCGAGCTCAACGAGCCTGGAAGGCAGGACAGTGGGCCAGGGCAGTGCAAGAGGGAAGGGCTCAGTCCCCCAATCGTACTGAGACCATCGACCTCCCCAACCGGATCTGGTGTGTCGTGCGAGGACCTGACTTCCCTGGGCCAAAGGTATATCACACCTCAAGGGACTTCTTCCAAGCTGTGGGCGATCTATCCCGAAGCAATACCTTGTGTCACGCCTGGCCCTCCGAGACGGAAGCCCGCATCTACTTTGAGGGAGCCGGTCAGGAGTTCCCGAGCTCTTCATAGAAGTCATGGCCGCCTTTGGCAGGTCAGAGTTGCAAGAAGAATTCATCGTGTATGTCCTGGAGCTCCCAGCTGGAGATGCCCCAGAGGAGGGGGTGTGTCAGGCTTTGGCTCTGGTTGTTTTGAAGAGACGCGGAGGCTTGCTTCTTTGTGTTCCTCAAGGCTACTTTCCGGAAGAGACCTTGGCCCTGGGACTCACCGCCTCTGCTGAAGATCAGATCGGTCAGTCGCTAGGCACTACCATTGCAGCTGGTACCTTGGAGGTCCTGACAAGTGGAGATCCGCCAGCTGCAGAGGAGGGCGCTACAGTCGATGTCCTCCTAGTCGATGTCACTGGAGATATGTGGGACCATTTGATTCCTTTCTCCCCTTCCGCCCACTCCTTCGACGTGATCCACACTTTCAACGAGGATCGCCCAAATCTGTTCCCTATGGTGGACGAGGTGACTTTGGCAGTATGGAACTGGATCAGCGACCCGGGGTCCGGAGAGAGAGTTGCCTTCTACTCTGCACAAGAAGAGCCGGATCCAGACAGCAGCGGAGCTCCCGTGATCAGAAGGAGAGCAAAGGCAAAAGCAGCTTCTGGTACCGCAGACGGAGAGCCGCAGCCAAAGATGGAGCCAAAGAAGTCAAAGCCGACGGTAGCCAGCTTGTCAGCGACCATGGAGGGCATCTCGGCCACCATCCCACAGATTATGGCGGAATTGAAGGCACTCCGAGAGAGGACAGATGCTTTCGAGGACAAGCCTCCTGCATTGCCAAGCCGACCGTCAGCATTGAGGCAGCCACTTGGAGACTCCGTTATTCTTGGATCTGCCACTACACCTCGGAGGCTAGCGTCCTTTGTTCAAGAGATGCCGCCCCCGAGAAGTTCGTTGCTCAGGACTCCTACGAAATCCCCATCGGTGCCTTTGCCTATTTCGAAGGAGACCTCATTTGCCCTTGCCGCCGAGCTGGAAGACCCTAACTAGGGCAATACTAGCACAGAGCCAAGCCCTGTCAGCCCTGGTATGTCAGATGACCACGGGGGATGTCACCTTCGAGACGAGCTCGGGTATTTCCCTGTCTATGAAAGGAGCTCAGGGGAGGGCGAGGTTGCAACAGGAGCTCTCCCTTCACAGAGGCACCTTTTTCAATGCTGTCTTCACAGCAATGGCCCGAAGAATGCAACCTGCCCAGCCGGCAGATATGAGCCCAGCGGAACTGGGACAGAGGGGGGTCCGTGCATCTCTCTATGTCGAGCGCTTCGGTGGTTATGGAAAGACGCGAGATCTTGGTCAGATAATGTGGCAAGTGGCCCTCATCCTGGACCATCTCCAACAGGAGAATGTCGGTGCTGCAAAGGATGCAATCGCCCTTCTTGCAGTCTGTCTCGAACAGTCAGCCCTGGATGCGGGGAAGATGGACATTGGCCTTCTCCTATCTCTGCAGGAGGATCCACCTGCAGGGGTCTTTACCAACAGGAGTCTGGCAAGCTATGCTCACGGTCGAGCGTTCACGCCCCTGGCAGATCAAAGATGGATCACTACCGCGCTCAGTTTTATCAAAGAGCTGGACATCATCACCACCAAGCGGGCAGACGCAACTTCTCAAAAGGCCACAAAGGAAGAAAGCAGCAACTCCGCCAACCCGAAGAAAGCACCGAAGAAGCAGCCTCGGGGAACATGGAGAAGGCAGGGTCAGCAGGCACAGGAGGTCGAAGAGCAGTGAAGTCTTGCCATGCTCCTGACGGCCATGCACCTGATGTTGACTACACGGACCCTGCTGCATTGCTCCGAGCTTCTTCTTCAGTTCCAAAGGTGCTAGCAGCCCTTCCGAGATGGATTTTGGCTACACGCACCTCCTTTTCGAAGTTTCTTGCACGTACTTTTCACCTCCAATGCCGGGGAGTTGTCCCGGATACCGTGGTGTTCCCTCTTCCCTTTGCGGACTATGGTATCTTCCATTCAGGAGGAGAGATCTCAGCAGGAGGCGCTACCTCTGCCTACTGAGAAAGAGGCTTTTGCATGTGGTCATCGCCGCTCTCAACTACATCCATGGTGGAGTGGCGCTCATTGACGTCTCATTGCTGAGCAGGAGCCCAAATCGTGCACAGAG